TAAAAAATTACTATAAAACCTTAATTAAAAAAGTTATTAAAACTATATTATACTTTACAAAACTACCAACACTATTTCAATATATTTTATATATTAAAATTTTAATTAACCAATATTTCTTTCTGAGACAAAAAATGTTATAAAAAATATTTTGCAATTATACGTAATCGTAATATCTTAAATATATACAAAGTTATAAGTTATAAGTTAGATTAATCAATCCTTGTATATAAGGAAACATTTAACGTAATTGGAACGGTGTCAAAACTTGAAACTTGGAGTATTAGTTGTAAAACTCATTAGCACCGGATGCCAACTAATTTCGATAGAATTTCTTGCCAAGCGCGATTTACTAAACGACACTTACAGTTTATGCCAAACAGTTTCTATCAAACATTAGATAATCACATCAAATATTAAATTGCGATTAACTATAATTACGATAGAAGATTACAACAATTCATTAAATTGTATAAATTTTAATTCGTTATGTGTTTCGCTGTTTCGATTTAAGTATATATAATTCTATTAATTTCACTAAATCAACATCAAACCCGTGCTTTGCTCGCGTCACTTATTCTCTAACATTATATATTTTTAATAAATATAAATGTAATTATAAAACTTACTAAAAATCTAACACATTAAAGGTTTGTCAGATTTGTTGCTTGCACTCCTTAAGATTTTCAGTATTTGAAACGAAATAAATGTATATTGCGAGTGATAAAGAAAAAAAGAAAGAACGAGAAATCGAGTGCAAAAAATGCAAGCAATGCAAGAATCTAGATCTATTTATAAAATTAACTATATAAAAATTTAGAAGTTATTGAAATTTTTAATTGATTGATTTACTCTTTTATTAATTTATTAGAAATATAAAATTATTAAAGGTGTATTTGAGAATTTGATAACATTTTTGTTAAAGAGAAGATAATAAGAAAAAAATATTTAAAAAAAGACTAGAATAACGCATTATATTATTATATTTAAATTATTTTTTATAAAATAAATATTAATTTTAATTATACAAAACGTATAAATGTCAATTTATGTAATCTAATCAATAATCTGTATTTTTAAATTATGTATTTGGCGAAATTGAAAATTATATAAAAAATTAATTTCTAAATAATTTATTTCGTTTAGTATAAAAAAGATGCTTCAAAGTGATAAATGATTTATATACATATAGATGTATCTTAATAGAAACTTAATAAATATTTAAGGTACATGCTATTGGTTTGGATTTTTATAAATTTTACTGCATTGTATGTGTTATTAGTAATAATTAATATTATTTATTACAATAAAATGTTTTATTATTCAAATATGTATCTTTCAAATTTTTGTATTTTAATTGTTCCCAACATAAAATATTAAAAAAGCTATATTTGGGAATATTAAAAGCTACATAATTGGGAAGAGAAAAATTGTCTCTTTTCTATGTAATATACGATCAATGTAAAAAGAAAGGACATCTTGAGAAGGAGATTGGTATATTTTGGAGTATTTTATGAAAGAAATAGAAGACACAACAAATTCGTAATCACAACAGATATTATATAATAAACCGTATTTTTTTACAGTGGCAGATACAATGTAAAATGAACAAGGATACCTTTACGAAATATACACGTATTAAGTAGCATGTTGATCCAGGAATCGATCCACGATACTATATACAACACAACCACGTAACATGCGCGATGTACCGTCCAACTGGCAGGCAACGCGGTTGCACTTTTGAATTTGGCACGCGGTGCACCTATTCACCTATATTCTTGTCTTCCTTCTTCCCCCCCTCTCCTCTCACTCACTCACTCGCTCGCTCACTCACTCACTCACTCACTCACTCACTCACTCACTCACTTACTCACTCACT